TCTTGAATGAAAACAATAGACCGTTTTCTCAAGATTGCGTGCGCATCCAATTTTAAGGAACTTGACGGGCCACGATACCAGAACAGGAGCTTATAATGAGAATTATCATACATTTCTATGAATTTTTTTTCGAGAAGAATTCATAAAATTGATTATTCTCCTCTTTAAATATAAAGCTGGCTTCTCAATTTTATTGAATTTGCGTTTTTCATTTTTGTGGCTCGTCAAGTTGGATGCGCACACAACCTTGAGAAAACGGTCTATTGTAGAAAAGGGATTGGGCTTCCTGTGGTATCTTGACCTCGGTTGCACCAGAAGTCCATAATTTAAATAGTCAATAATAAACACATACATACATAAATATATATTTATGAAAACACACAAAAATCACTACTCACGATTTCTGTTTTTACTTGAATAGCATTGATGCGCGGATATTGTACAAAATATCCGTTCCTTTGGCCCAAAGACTTTATTTCTACCCTTTGCGGCATCCATGGTAATTGTACGCCGCTCTGCTATCTTGTGTTTCGGGTTGTTATAGTGGCATGACCACAGGTGAGGAGTTTTAGAACGTCTKTTTGATTTCTTGTATGATAAAGATGAAAAGAAATGGCAAAATAAGTGGAATTACTTCATAGATTCTCACTGATTACCCTTAACCGTTTCCTTCTCATAAAAGCCATATKTTAAAATCAATTTCWAAAMTTTACTGCGTCAAAGTAATTTTTCTAGTAATTTAAGATTTTTCCTCATGATTTTAAATTGAAATACCAAACCAAATTTTTTTCTCGATCCCACACTCCACCTATGAAAAGTCCGATCCAACGAGTAAATCCAGATCCAGATTTTCCACAATTTTGGATTTTAGGGATAAAACTCACAAATTCTAAAAGAGCAAGTRAAATAGATATCAATGGTGTACTTTATTTTGCTCTTGTCGCAAAATAAGATTGTTTTAATGRCCATCAAACGTATCAACCCGCAAGTCACTTGTATACGCCCTTTACAACACACCTTCCCCTCCCCCAAGGTACTGGGTATTACATTTGCACTTTTGAAAGAAATCCTGAAGCTAACTTCTCGGCAGGTTGAAGGGTGTCCTCTCTCCGCAAAAACCAGACCAAACATGCATGCTATAATCCAATGCGATCTCTTTGTTAGCCGCACTGCGACATTGACCGCATGGTATCGATACTATCCAAAGACGATTTCTATATACGGTATGGATAATCAGAATATTTCGTTACTCCTCTTCAGTTCATTGCGGCGTTATCGTCTCATCACACGGTCCCATTACGCCAGGATATCGTCCATACACATTTAAGAAYACCGCACGGCACGAATTTATCTATAGTGTATAGTTTCAGACTTACTTTCTTTCTGCTCAGACGAGCTGAAGGGAAAATGTTTTAAAACTTTTTGTATCGGATAGAAAAGGAGTCTAGAACTGGATTATTCTGAACCYTGAGTTTTTTACAGTCATAAAGAATCTATTCTTTGTGATTTTTTAATACTATAAGTGGTAGAAATTGAAAGAAATGGCTTCCGAATGGGTTTCAAAGTGAAGCCAAGATATATACAGGGAAACACTACTACATCCCGGGCGGAGAAAGACCCCCTTAAAATACAGTAAATGTATGTAATTTGGGCTGTGAAGGGGCCCGTGAAAAGCACTCTACGCCCGTGATGTAGACTTTTCCTCGAAACACACCATTCAATCACAAGCCGAGCTTGTTATTCTTTATCCTTGCAGTTTGTTGTATCACGAAGCAATCGTACATTAAGGATAAGATAGGTTTGAAATACCATCTAGAAGGAAAATTCATTTGTGAAAGTAGCTTTGTCCTTTCAGCTGAGAGGATAACATAGGTTGATACAATCTAAAAGTACAATTCATTTGTGAGAGTAAGGAGGGGGACATTTGGAGGTATCGAAACAGCAACACCGCAAAAAGATTTCGAATTCACCGCGTGACCGCACGAAAAGTCAAAGAAACACCGACACCGCAATAGTTTTTTAAAATAGCTACGTGATTTCAAAGCATAGAATCACGGATAAATCCAAGAAAAGTATGCAACACTGCAATCGATGGGATCGTTTCACCGGACACTGTACGTTAAACGACTTCAACGCCGTACTTCGCAAGGTTTGAGACCCCAGCATCAGCACGAATTGGACAGTTTGAATTAAGGAAATAACGCATTAAAGGAGGCCAACACCGCAGCAACCTCAACCTCATTGTCCCTCCCCTCCCTGGCCCCTTATGAATTCTTATCAAAAATCACTTGAGTTTTGCGGAAGAAGACTCTTATCGAAGATATCGAAAGTCACAAGGATGATTTATTCTTTTTATATATATTTAGTCACTGGCACTCGCTATCTTCATTCAGTTTTATATAGGAACACATATATTTGATACTCCGTGCTTTTCTTTATTCGGTTTTATATAGGAATACCTACATTGGATACTCCGCGCTTTTCTTAGTCTATCCCTCGTATCCGTTTTTAGTGTCGGTCGTCATTCATTCAGTTTTATACAGGAATACATATATTTGATACTCCGCGCTTTTCTTCATTCAGTTTTATATAGAAATACATACATTGGATACTCAACAATTTTCCATTGAGTTTCCGTTAAGGTCGGTTTAGACGGTACGATTTTCGCCTACAACTATCGTACACAACACGCTCGCGTCTGTCGTAGGCGAGTTGTAGGCTTGATTTACACGCTACGACTCGAGTTGTAGGATGGCGCGAGCGTGTCGTATACGATAGTTGTAGGCGAAAATCGCACCGTCTAAACCGGCCTTTAGGAATACACACATTTGATGTACGGTGGTTTTAGAAAATCCTAGGAGATTTGCTTGATTTGAAGGATATTGATTTACGAATTGTCTTTACCAGGTATTTATATTGGGTGTCTTGTACGGATCCGGAAATTTTTTAATCAAAAATTTATGTATTTTATTCGTTGATTCTAAAATTATAACAATAGAAGTGTGTTATTTTAAATGTACACGACCTCAAACTAAAATTAAGAAATTCACGTCGAAGAAATTCATTTTTTAGAGTTATATCATCATCATAAAAATAGAAAATAATTGTCGAATCCCGCAAAGGATTTATTGCAACTTTTTTTTTTGAGTATTCCTTTAAACTAAATAAGGCAAGAGCTTTTCGTTTAATAAATAATTGCTCGTGAAAATCAGGGAAATGTTTTAAAAATTTTATTGTGTTATCAATGAATGACAGCTTACAAATTAAAAATCCCTTCCTTATAATCGTTAGGGTCAATATATACATTTAAAAGTCGGAATGTCAATAATTACTCATAGTAATCTTAAGGGGGCCTAAGACTGGCAAACTGCAACGCGGAAAAAGTTTTTGTTCCTCGTGGAATTAAGTGAAAGTGTCTTGAAATAGTATGTCTTTTTCGAGTGATTTCATACTTATATTTCCGCCTCTTGAAACCATGACAAGAACTTCAAATTGGATATATATTGTTTAAGTTTGTCACTAAGGGAATTACCAATTCAAACTTGCTTTATTAGGAAGTTGCTGCAAAGTCATTGGCACCCTTTGTGTTGACCACAAAAGGACAAGAAACAAAAGCAACTGTTCGTGTGAACTCTACCATTTCCCCCCGGCATAGAATAGAATTAATTAGACCTCTGTAGGATTGGAGCAATAGCATTGATTCTTAGTTTATAGGAGACAGCGATTCAACGAGCGAGTTGCTTCAATATCAAGATGAACGTCTCAGAAAGTTCATTAGATGTGTTAGCTGCCGAGTTAGCGTCAAGAAGGTCATTTCTTAAAGTGATTGAATGCGTGGTTTTCGGGATTTTGCTGTTGACGACAGTCATAGGAAACTTGCTAACTCTATTGACAGTTTATAGAAACAAAAGACTCCGAACAATTCCAAATTTTTTCGTCATTTCGTTAGCTATCTCTGATCTTGGAATGGGCCTAACTTGCATGCCGCTTTCATTCTCTGTGCTGGTCAAATCCTCTTGGCTGTATGGCGATGTGATGTGCCAGTTTGAAGGATACGTAGCGATTATATTGGCCGCTGCATCAACCCAAACACTTGCAGCAATGGCAGTCAACCGATACTTCGGGATCGTCAAGTGTCTTCTTTATCGTTCTTACTTCACGACAAAACGCACTATCGGTCTTATCTTAGTCATTTGGATCTCCTCCGTCGTTCCTCCATTCATCTATTTAGTAGCGGGAGATATATTCATTTTTCACCCCGGGAAACTGTTTTGTTATTTGGAGTTGAGTGCTGGATGGTTCACAGCATTTTTGGTTGGCGTGTATGTCGGGATCCCTTCTGCAGCCATCATTTTCTGCTATACTAAAGTCTTCCAAACAATCAACGCAAGGAACAAGCGCTACAAGAAAGATAGCAATGGGGATACAGTCTCCGTCGAAGAGATCAAAATAACGCGCACTTTATTTGTCATCGTGGTGTTCTACATGATCTGTTGGACCCCTGTCCTGATTGTCGATCTTGTAGACCTGTTTTTTGGCCGCTACGCTTCACCACGAGAGATTTACTTGGCCTACACGTTCTTGGTTTCTGTAAGCAGTGCTGTCAACCCCGTTATCTACGGCGTCATGAATCAATCATTCCGTAAAGAATTCCTGAGTATTCTACAAATACTCAATTGTTTCAAACCCCGGGGAAATGGTAAAGCAGCCCAAAGTTCATCTGGTGTTCAAAAACAAACTAAAGAGATTGAACTATCTGAAACAAGTACAAAATCGAAATCGCCACATATTTTACGCCGTGCGAAAATAAAAACATAAACACCAAGAGAAATAAGAATAAGTTTTCTTCGCTTGAAAGAAGATGGCAACCCCAGGGCAAATACTTGTCACTAAACTGTGACAAAAGCACGAACTATCCACAGAAAAACATCCTAATTTCGACTCATTCTTCGTAAACTTTAGTTTATTTATTTAGGATTTCTTAAAACATTTCTTCGCTTAGTATTCAAGACAAATATTCAGTCAGTATAGACGAATGTATCATCGACAAAAGCGTCAGCTTTCCTATGGAAACTAAAAGGACACTGAATAAACCGTCCAAAATTAAACGCAAATATCATTTGTTTTTCTTATAAATCTTGAATTCAAGTTAATAAAGAAAAAAATCTTTGTTGAATGAAGTTTTGTATTGAGTAAATATTGACTGTATTCATTGTGTTTAGTTTTTAGTTTTCTACTCGTTATGAAAATGTGACACAGGGAGATAATTTTTCTAGCTGACGACCGAGTTTTCGTTTTATTTCATGGTCGCTACATGCTGCCGAAGCCGGATACATTTTAACAATTAGCTAATAACAAAGCATAAAAATAACAAAAATACGACAAATTATACATTGACTTTATACTAATATACTTTATACTTTAAGAACACTTTCCAATAGTTTAAAATCTTTTTCTTTTGTCGCTTAAGTTTTCTTGCCGAATTACTGTTCTTGTTGTTATTGTAAAAGAAATAATGTTTCTTTTTAGGGAAGAGATTAAAAAACAACCAAAACGAAAAGGTTAGGACCGGAAAGTCAAAAATAAAAGCTTAATTTACAAGGTTTCCGCATGAATAGTTGAATATTTAAAAAGGTAAAACTTTACCCACTATTTTTCCTGGTTTTATTAGCGTTTGGGTCATAAAAATCCATAATTTTAGGATCTAAAAGAAGAAATCTAATATTTTATTTTCAACTGAGATAATACGACAGGAAAAAGTATCGCTTCAAACGTGAAGTACTTTGGTGGCAACATGAAGTCTTGAATCGAAATTTCACCTTCAAAAATGCTTATTTTAAACCCGAATTTTTCCCAAAAATCGTGTTTTCAGTCGAGATTTCCAAGCTAGATCAAGTTTTTGAAAGAAAATCGAATAAAAACAATTTTCTACGGAAATAACTAACGCGAACTGAAAGCTGAAACTGCAAAAGCAAAGTCATTTTCTATTTCTTTATTGGACTACTTAAGTTACAATGTAACAACGAGTTGGCATGATTGCCAGTAATAATTGTTGAAATTGTTATTGAAATTTGGAAGCTTGTTCAGTTTAAATTTATAAACTCAGTATATTAGATTTTGATTTGTGCATGAAGAAATTGTATACTTGCATTGACAATTGTTAGCCCTTTCCAGCAGTTTCGACCATTTCAGCTGCTTCTGTTTTTGCTTTCAGTTTTACCGCGCTCAACTGACAGGGAGAGAGGAATAACGAAGTGTGAAAATGAATGACTTACACTATCCTTCCCAAACGTTCAAATTTAGCTCTAGTTTAATTCAACGTGGTAATGTCGATTCAAACTCTCGTTATTGTCAAACATCCTTTCCCTGACAGAGTCAGAGAGACCGCCGAAGAGTTGAATTTCAAATTATTTAGGAAAAAAAAAAAAATTAAACTGACTTTTAAACGAACTGTTTTAATCTTAAAAATCATTAGGGATCGAATCATTGAAGTGTTCATATTAAAAAAAAAAGTAATTGAACAGAACGGAAAAGAAAAAAAACAATAATGATGTCACTTTAAAGAGCGGCGTTGGACGTCTTTGTCCAGCTGTATCCTTGTAGGCCCAAAAATATATTGATAATATAGTAGCTGTAATTTGAACACCGGGCGAAGACATTGAACTAAATTTACATTTGAGGGAAAATCACAATAGATATTGGTTGCAGCTGCATCGAAAGATAATGGAACGACAACTAAGTGTATACTTTTTGCCTCTCAAGTCGTTAGAATTGTCATTTATTTCTTAGCTTACATCAATCCTTTTGGGTACATGATAATAATATGCTGGCGTTCAATAGGTTGATCTTGATGCTCTTTTCTCCCGTCTCCCTGGGGTTGTGTAGTAGTTTAATATCAAATTGTCCATCCTCAGTACGTAGTCGGTCCTAATAAGGCATCCAAGACCCCTCCCCCACCCCCCCCACGAGTTGTCTTGTTTATCCAAGGACTGCCTCAGTCTGATCGATCAGGTTCTACTCCCTGTTATTCGTACGAGAGTCGCGGTTCAGCGAATATTTACCAACATTTTCCATTCCCGTACGAATTATTCGCGATTGTTATTCGTACGGGAGTCGCTGTTCAGCGAATATTATGTACTTATTGACTGAGTGGGAGGGCCGTACGGGAAAATATTTGGCTCGAGGTGATGCCGTACGGACCGAGCGCAGCGAGGTCCGTACAAATGACCGAGAGCCAAATATTTTCCCGTACGGCCCGACCTAACTCAGTCAATAAGCATTTTATCATATGACCCTCACGAAAAAATCAATAAAAGAATAAAAGAAAGAGATAGTAAATAAAAGCTAAAAAAGAGAAAGCGCACGGATTCGAGCAGGGCCGGACGGGTTTTTCCGGCCCGCTTACGTCAACCCGTCCGGCCCCCCATCACGGGACTTTTTCCAATGGTTTTATTAGAGCGCGCGTGCAGGGCCGTACGGGTCATATGATAATTACCAACATTTTCCACTCCCGTACGAATGACAGCGATTGTTATTCGTACGGGAGTAGGTCCAGCGAATATTTTGCCAACATTTTCCACTCCCGTACGAATAACAGAGATTGTTATTCGTACGGGAGTCGCGGTTCAGTGAATATTTACCAACATTTTCCACTCCCGTACGAATAACAGCGATTGTTATTCGTACAGGAGTCGGCGATTGTTATCTAGAGAGATTCCAATATGGCGTCCATGTTGTTTGGTATATCTTCTCTGTTGTCTCTATCATCAGACCGCCGAGCAGACCGCAGACCACCGAGCAGCGCAGGCTTACACAATTTAGACAGCGTCGATAGATAGACTGATAGATAGATGGATAGAAAATCGAAACCTATCGAAACCGTTTACACTAGCGATTTTTGCAACGATTTTTGCTGCGATTGTTTTTGCGATTTTGTCCATAATAAATAATGGCAAAGAATTTACTTGTAAAGTTTTTGGAAAGGATACCAAGATTTTCCTAGAGGAATGTCTCTTTTGAAGGATGAGATAAAAGATTTCATATTTCCGAAAATTGCCACAAAAATCGCAGCAAAAATCGCCAGTGTAAACGGGGCTTTAAAGGGCGGATCAGTTCCAAACAAGTGTGAAAGATTAATTCTGCGTTTTTACTTCTTTGAGTTTTGTAACTACAGTACAGGTATGATAAAAACAGTCAAGCCGTTTTTTGCCTCTTTTGAATGTCAAAATACTGCAATATCTGCTACTGGAATGAATGATTATTTATTAGGATTATAAAATTATCGAAAGAGTTTCCAAGAAGATCCGAATTTTAATTCGACCTATCGGCAACGTTATCGAGTGGGTTGCAAAACCCGGCCACCATAGTGGTAAATCCAGGTAAATCAGGGGGAAGAGCATTCTGGTCCAAAATATTACCAGCTTGCTGAGCAAAGGAAAACCTACGCAACGGATACCTTTTACACTAATCTGTGTTTTATCCTGCAAAGATAATAATTAAAATCTAATGAGACGTATTTGAATAATAACTTTTTGAATATAATAACAACTACCTTTTAAAAACATGGAGGCCATTTTGAAATAGAACCAACCACGATGCGGGATTCCTGTGTAGTTATGAGTACAGGAAGCCCGCAAAACGGTTTTGGAGTTTTAAAATGGGTGCAACATATGAGTGCCTTTGGATCATATATATATATTTAACAATTATTCGGCGAAAGCGAAGTGAATAACCGGGTATATTTACCGATACGCGAGTCTTCGAGCGGCGAGGTAAATATTCTCCGATATTCACTGAGGCTGAGGCAAATAATTGTTTTTGTATAGATACACAGGTGATTCTTTCAAAAAAAAGAAAAAAAGGAGATAAACGACATTTTTTTCCAGTAACAGCAACAAAGCGGCTGGCCGCCATTTTGGATTATCGCTGAAGGTGATTATCGTGTGATAGTGTGGGTTTTTCGACCAATCAGCGCGCGAGATTTTCAATAATCACCTGTGTATTTTTACTAAAAATATATATAATTCTAAATTTTAAACACGAGTCCGTAAGGCTAAGCTTTTAATAAAAAAAATATTAAGAAGCATTATTAATGCTAAGTCGATCCCTTTACTCTCATAACGAAGCTTGGTTACTTTTCAAAATGGCCGACATAACATTAAAAGGTATTAGTGTTGAACCAGATGGCTCCTCTAGTTTCCTGCAACTTAATTTGTGAGCTTCTTGTAGGCTTCTCTTTTCATAGCGTTAACTTTGGCAACGATTTTAAGAGCGGGGCCGAGTTTCATCTTCAAGGCAACGACCATGTGTTCTTCTCTCAGTAGCATCAGTGCTTGACCGTCTATCTCTTCTGTAACAAATGCATCGGCGTATTCTTCGCATCCAGTTAAAGACCTGTAATAACAAGTAAACAAATAATGAAAGACCTTTTCTAACGTAAAAAAAACTATCAGAATTTTTTTATGGCTGTGTAAAAGCTTTTGAAAGGTAGCCTGGTCTGGTTTAACGGCACGAAGTTTGAATCGAAAGGTAACCAAGCCTGGCTTTCAAGGTAACCGAGCCTTGTGAGAATTGCAACCAAGCCTGGTTTTAAAGGTAACCGAGCCTGATGTGAAATGCAACCTAGCCTGGTGTTAAAGTCAACCAAGCCTGGTGTAAAAGTCAACCAAGCCTGATTAAGGAGACCAGACAACGCACAATACCTAATTTCTTTCTAACAAAACAGCTTACCTTATATAATTCGCGACTTGTTCTACATCCCACTTGGCCTCCTCCACGTGTTCGTATATCCAAAGAGGTTCAACTTCGCCTCGAGTCCAATCAAAGTGCATACTAGGAACATCTAAAACCAAGATAAGCAATCGAACCTCTATTTGAGAACAAATTGTTTTTGCTTGGCTTTCTTAAAAAAATGCAATATTTCTTTGATAATAGCATGCGTACTGCCTGACTTTAACTCAGTTACGTTCGTCTGCATGTAGGTTATTTGAACACTAATGGAAGATTTGAAGGTACTGAACTAAAATATCTAAAATATATGTTTATAATATTTTGAAATATTACTTTAAAAAATCAGTTCGGCACACCCCAAGGATACTTGGTTTGATTTGAGCGACAGACGAACTGAAAAACGGTCACGTGATCTGAACGCAACCCCCAAGTTAAACGAAAGGCCAATTTGAGCCTAAAATGCAAGTCAGGAAAGGAAATCCAGGAAAAGACAAAATAATAGCAACATGACGTGTCGCCACAGCAGACGAGAACAATATGAACCATATCAATATAACAGGCTCTTGAAATACATGGATGAATACAACATTAGAGTTGTTATCCTAGTGCTGAAATTTTATAGTTCTTATCTTTCAATTTTTATAATATCGAATCGTTTGTTGTGATGTGATTTTGGTAAAATTGTATACCACTTTATGGCAAGTCGGGTGAAATTGGATCTCAAGGCGTGAAACGAATGCAAGTGAGTGGTACTCGCGGGGCGCCTCACGAGATTACCAATGCGATAATAATCATTAGAGGTATTTAACCCAGAAACATGTCCACAAACACGGAGAAATACTCAACAATGAAATTCTATATGGCGGCCCTTTCAACAACAACTTTGTTATGACGCCTTGCTAGATGTCGAACGTTTGACGGAAAACGCCCAATAACAAACACGCGGTGCTAACGGTCTCTATTGCTAATAAGATAACTAAAAATAAATAATTATAATCATAGCAAGAAAGATATGTTTATCAAAAAGATTTTAAAAAATCACTTTCGATTAAAACGATAAAATTATCCAAAAAAGAGACGGTTCAAAATAATTTTAGAGTGTTGATACAGATGGCTGACAAATACAATATAGGTTTACAAAATGCGACTAATATTTAAGACAAGTGTATGTGCAGCCCGAAGGTTAGGATAAAAACGTTTTGATTTCAAAATCACTTAGAAAATGATCGTAAAATAATCTAGTCAGTAATACTATTAAATAGGTTGACATTTTATCTAATCCTCAAATACAATGTGTTAATATATATTAATCAAAAATTAGGGATCGATAAGAACAGAATTTTATTTTTCCCGGAAATATTGTATTTCATATAATACTAAAATAAATATAAAAAACTTTCCTCAAATAGAACTAGCATTAAAATATATTTATTCAAAATGAGAATTAAATTTTAACCGGGTTTAAGTTGGCACGAATCATAAATATTGAATTTTGCATAGTACTAAATTTTTCAATAATTTTTAAAGTATAAGTATTCGTTAGTGTGTTCGTAAATATTGACTCGTGTCGAAATAGGTGAGAAAGTTGAATGCAAGGCAAACCTAACTGAGCTACAGGCGGGTGTATATATGAAGTTTTTAGCGTTGAAAATAAAAATCCTAAGGGTGAATATGCGTTATACGAGGCGAAATAATTTGAGACTTAGGAAGTAAATACTGAAGATACGTCTTGACATAAAGATGACTCATTTGTCCAGGAAGGCAAGCGTTAAAACTTATTGATATATAAACATTTCCAGAATCTTTTACAAACAACGTCAAAGTATTTCGAATTGAACATCAGGTGGTGAATTTTTGGATTTTTAGATTAGTAGGGAAGATTATGATGGGTAGATCAATAGCTAGACACAAAGTAGACTCGAGGTATTGTTTGGAGGCAAGATAACCTACCCTTCTTTGGGCCATCCACTTCGGATTTCTTTTTGTCTTTCATAAGTTCGTTCCCCATATTCGCTCAAAATCGAAAATCAGATTTAACGGATAATTTCACGGATAATTCAAAGATGGTTAATCTTGAGCAAGTGAAGCTTCTGCCTCGCTGTTGAAGTCGAGTTGCGAATAAATTCGATAGAATTAAGCCGAATTAAGAGAACGAATATGCAATGTAATTATAGTGAAGACATACCATAGACGAGCGAATCTACCCCTTGGAAACCATCTTACGAAATACAGCCTCAAAGAAGGACGTCACAATATTTGAACTGCCGAGCAAGAAATTTTCTTCCACCAAAATAAAATCCAAAGATAGTTATTTCTTTATTTCTTTGGGATGAAGTGGTTTATACAGTACAGTTTGTAACGATGGCATGAAATGATAATAATGGATGACCGAACGATCTCCGTCGCATTTTCATGTAAATATCGTTGTTTAGAAAGTTCTTGTAAAGTGAAGATTTATAATAGAAGCAGATGTCGTTTATTAGTGAACTTTTCCTCTAGAAACTTGAAAAGTATATCGAATTCTTGAAAAATCATGAAGTAAAACGTAATATCGGCTCTTGTTTTTTTAGGTGTTTTAAAAATGCAACGTTTATGCAGACTTAAAGAGAAAAAAATATTAAGAAATTGGAGATAAATAAAGGATATTTACAAAATTGTTTAGTGAGTTTGTGCGAAAAAAAAAAAAGATTATTTCAAAATAAGGAAGATTCAATAAAAATGCTAATCGTTAATCAGCAAAAAAATTCAAGAGTTAATGGAATAAGATTTTATGATTTATTTGAAAGGATTATAGCCAAAAGAATGTTAAAAATATACGAAAAAACAAAACAAAAAAAACAAAAACAAAAACAAAAAAACAAACAAAAACAAAAACAAAAAACAAAACAACGAAAAAACTATGATATCCATTGGAAATATTATTGCTACTGTGTATAAAATAGGTATATCGCTTTAGAACTGGATTTCCTTCAGTAAAAATTTAACTACTGGCCAATTATAAAAACTAAAGGGTAGTACTTTAGTGTAGAGTTGAGCTGCCATGACGATTGCAAATTAAACCGTTATAATCGTTATTTAATTTCCGCCCATTCTTAGACCAAATTTATTTTTTATTCAGTAAAAAAGATTTTTTGACCCAAAGTTAAATTTTTATATATAAATCTAATATTCATTTTCAGTTTTGTAAACAATAGATGATATTACAGTCGCAATGTGATTTATCTTTTGGATTGATACAATGCTTGTTGTCTAATTTGAATCTCATTTGCATGCATCCATAAAACCTGCTATTAATTTGCATAAAACCAGTCTGGGTGCCCAGGGTGCCCAGAGGGCCACTTAGGATTTCAAGTATTGGATCATACGTTATGAGGAATTCCTAGTCCCTTGGGAATCAAAACACCTTATAGCATATCTTTCAATCACGGAACACAAAGATGACCAAAAAGCCAAAAAGGATTTGGTGATCTTGGAAGCATGTGTGGTGTAGAGGTGTGAGTGCTCGCCTCTCATCAATGCGACCCGAGTTTGAGTCCCGACAGCCCCCCTAAACTCAATTAGCCCCCCCTAAAATTTTAGCTGGATAGCACTATCCGCAGGATAAATCTTATTCAGTGGATAAATTTATTAGATATCAGCATCGACTTATTTGTTAAATTAGGATTTATCCGTCAGATTGTGCTATCTGCCCTTAGTACCACCGGACCCAGATGTTAAGTGAACTTACCAAATTCATTGACTTGTACTGCAGCGTTAACCGTGGATGGTTCAAATCCATGATCAATGTTTATCTGTCATGGGTAAAATGGAAACACAAGATCAAAGACAGTATTAATGTTCCAGGAAGGGAGGGGGGGGGGGGGTTACTCCGCTAGGATTTGGGTAGGGGTGTTCTGCTGGGATTCTGAAAGGGGTACTCTGTTTATGACAAAAAAACTCAAATTTGTAGACCCTGTTTATGAAAAAAGATATAATTAATTTTACTGAGTTCCTGTTTCAATTATCGTGTCAGCTCGCTTATCGTGTTTTGAAGACCATAGTAACCAGTTTCGGTCAATACGAAAGTAGAAACCCTGAATATGACAGGAAACTCAGGAAGAAATTGGAACTTGAGTGAAATTGCATACCCCATTTAATGACAAGAAGCTCGAAAAACCATACTCTGTTCAGCGGATCATCCCTGTATAGTCCATATGTGGGAGTACCCCTCACTGGGATTAATGTATACTACACCATATGGGAGGGCTTGATGGGAAATTTATTTGGCTCGAGTTCATACTGTATGGACTAGCACAGCTGGTTTCTTCAGCCCGCTCATATCAACCTGTCTGGCCCCGATGGCATGGCATTTTCCAAAGGTTTTGTTAGAACATGTGAGCAGGACAATACTGGTCATATGATAATGAACAGGATTCCCTATTTCAAAAACTTAGGTGTTTTAGGTGTTGGTCCCCTTTAACTTTACATTCTTTGTAAATTTTTAACCTTTTCGAAAGCTCATTATTCTGATTCTTTTCATTCAAACATGTTCAAGCAAAAAAAGATTTTTTATTTGTCATTTGAGAAAGCATCTAATTCTGGCAAATTTCTTACATTATTCTTTCATCCATCCCTTTAGTCAGCCAATTCATTGATTCATTGTATTCAGTCTCCTTCACTTGCTCATTGTTTTCAGTTTTCATTTCATTTCATTTCACTTAGTCAATGAGTAAGTACATTGAGATTATCACATGTTAAGAGCTTGATATCATTTTTATTCACAAGTTTACATACAGTATCATATCGCAAACAAGCGAGTCTGTGAGCAAGTGAACAATATGATATCGAAAACAAGTGAATAAAGAAAATATCAGGCTCTTGACATGTAACAATAAATTTGTTTATTACACATTTAGGGTCGAAATCATCAATTCACCTTTTTGGTGCTAGCTGTCAAGGGATATAAATTATTTTAGATTGTGTTACGGTCACCAAAAAGTTCGGACATTGTTCTTGAACTTCCGTACAAATGTACTGACTCTAAATGAACTATTTACTTGTTTAATGTTTAGTTAGTTTTCTAAATACAAATAAATAATCATTTTTCTAGCTTGATTGAAGCTTTTCTTACTGCTGTTAAGATAGCTAACTAAAGAAATCTACCTAAATTTTCTCTTTAAAGTCAGTGAACGATACGACGATACGATACGATACGACGATACGAAGCTTTTTCTTGCCTTACCCTCGAAAGAAATCGACAAAGCTATCCCTGCTCTAAATGAAGATCTGAAAGAAATTGCAAAGTGGTGCTGCATGAACTCGCTTCTCATCAACCCAGATAAGACAAAAATACTAACTATTGGTGTACCGCAGCTCACAAAAACTTTACCATCACTC